GTAAGCACAACATAATGCAAAAACTGCACAAAGCACCACAAGCTCAGTCTGATGGAGATCACGCACGCACGCACACGCACACACGCGCGCACACACATACACACACACACACACACACAGCAGCAGTCTCTGGCACAGAATCACAGAGGGCGTGCCAACTGTCTTAGTTCTGACCATTCCAGCACACCATAAATGCTGTGCAAAACTCTCTGTACAAGGTGAAAAGGGTCACACTGACAACAGAGTCTGAGCAGAATGGATGCCCCCTCCTTATCCATCACGTCGTTTTGGCCATATAGATCAAATGTGCTTCTTTCTTGATAGTCCACAGTATTTTCTTTGCCACGGTCTTTTCTCTTTCTCCCTGTGTGTCTCAGTCTAAGCTACTCATGTATACACCCACTTCCAAAACAGACTGCAGGCTTGCCAATGTAAAATATTAACCAGAATGCTCAATGAGGGAAATCGGACTGGTCTAAGGAATAATAGACCGTTCCTTCATATCATGACCAAGGTCATAAAAGAGGCCTAACCTTCACTATCGGAGTCACTAATTGATAAATATTTTCATTCCTTATGGCTGAAGGTCATTGTGTGTCTTCTGCTCTATGGGAAGCTAATAAGCTAAGGGAGCGTGTGGGCCAGAATCCATCTCCATTAAATTAAAGGAGCCTGGTACCACAACGTGACCTCTATTCACTATGATTTATTGCAAGAACAGAGTAAATGAACATCAAGCACAAAGGACACACAGATAATGAAATGATTGGCCTGACAGTTAAACCAGTTCAGATGTGAGAAAAGCTGTAATTGAATAGAGTTGTAGAGAAGTAAAAGGCCCGGCAAACGTTCCATGCATCACTATTGTGTGGGTCTAGCGCGTTATTAGTCCATTGACAAACTCAGCATGCATGTCAGCTGTTTGCTTTTAGTGGTTAGATGACCTGCTCAAATAAAATGGCTTTCATTAGTGGGAAGTGGGAACAGAAGCCAGAATCTCGCAAAGTGATGCATCAATCTCAAATGTGTTTTTCAGCTCAAGCTATGAACCCTTCATCCAAATAGATCAGAGGACCCGGAGCTATTGTCTACTAAAAAAAGGAGATTTTATTTGTCATCTTATACTGCAGGAAAGTGGAGAGGGAGACAGCATATAGGGGTGATTCTGGACAGAGAGCAGGACCCAGTTTTGCTGGTCAGTTTGGGCCAAAATTGGCTCCAGAAGGATTTAACCACCGAGCTATTTGAGGGCACCACCCCACTTTATTGGTTCCCTTCTGCAATCAGCATGGATCAGATTGTTATCCCCATTAAAGTGCAAAGGCATTACTCCATAAGCCAGACACTTAACCCCTAGTTGCTCCAGAGGCGTGTGACTTCTGACATATATAGCAATTGTCAGTCGCTTTGGATAAAAGCGTCAGCTAAATGAGTAAATGTAATGTACTCCTATGCTAGGTAGTGTAATTAAATAGGGTGTGTTCCATACAGTCACTAGATGGCGTTCTTTACTTGAACTGTTTTCATCTGATCTTCCTGCCTATGGCACTGAGTCAAATACTGACTCATGCTGTTCTTCAAATCGGCTTGACTCATGTTCTTCAAATCCACCAAATGAGAGAGATCTACATCATAAGCTCTGCAGCTGCTGAGTCCAACTGCAGATTATCACAAAGGCCAGTGATCTGCCTCTGACCAACAAATCAAGAACCTCTGCAGCCCTATTTAAAAGGGACAAAGACGCTGGAATTGCTATGGATTTCAACAAACCCCTCAACCTTTGTTTATTTTTAGAGCAATTTAGTAGGACAATGCTCCAGTTGGGTTAAGACTTAACAAAAACCCACATGTACTGTAGGTTAGTAGAAAAACTGTTGCTTTTAATGCAAAAGCAAAAAAAATCGGCTGTTCCCTCACAATGGAAAGAGTAAATCGGTACTTGATTTTATATTTATTAAGCTAGTTTTGCCACTAATTTAGGAATCAAAAGCAAACAGGGCATGTTGCTTTTGTAAAATAATCAATAGTTTGAATGGAGGAAAGGTTGAAAACGCAAGACCTGTACAAGAGCCCTCTTTGTAGCAGTGAAAGCTGCAGATCGCTATCATGGAAACGAGACCCTTTCTGTTCCGGATGGGGGCACATTAGCCTCAGAGAGAGAGAGAGGTGTCAATTGGTTTCAACTAGGGAGAAGAAAAGGAGAAGGAAAGAGAGGGAGGAATAAAAAGACATTGGCAAGTTCCCAAGTAGTGCAGGTGTCTGCTTAACAACAGGCTGCACACAGGCATGTGTGGTCCAGGCAGACCAGGACCTACGAGACGATGGGAAAACAAACCAAGCCTATAATGGCAAACCCACAGAGGGAAGGGCTGTTTGTGGCGCATTGTGCATTCATGCAGTGGACGAATAGATCCTTTGAGCATTCTTGTGGACATCAAGACAGGATTTAAGACACTGAGTGACTTCAGAATTTGTCAAATCTATCCCAAGCTCCAGTAAAGCTACATGATATACCCGCACTCCCTAAATCATCGTCAGGGAGCTGAAAAATCTGAAACTCATCCAAACATCCATCCATCCAAAACCAAGTCTGTAGTCTTAAAAAAGAAATACCTCATACTTAATTTGCCTGACGTATCACATAAATAAATCTATTGAATAAACTTAATTCCTTAATTAAAATCCCCATCCATGCTGTAAAAATGAATCACCTGTAAAGACAATGAAAGTTGTATTTGTTGATGTGTTGCAATGTGAGCACATGACAAATATAAATAAACACATTTTCCACTTAGGTGTTTATTATTAACACGTATTCTGTTGTATTATGTTATGGTCAGTGTATGCGATTCTGGAGAAAGCTTGTTGCCATTTGAACTTGACAGCCAAACACACCTTTAGTGCTCCTTCAGAAACTCCACCGCCCATAATCATGAAGCATTGCCAAGGCAACAATATTAACTACTGGGAAATATTGCAGCTGAAGCAGAACAAACATAACATAAATCGTCATCAAACGAATGACATGCAAGCACACAAACACAGCAACCAAAACACAACGAAGTAAAAACAAGTAAGTTAGTTGTTTAGATCGTTTTTTGCATAACTACAGTGAAGGTAGCGTTACCTAGCATAGCATTTTGAATTATGGATCAATCCATATAATTGCACTGTGCTAGTTTTTAGGTCTTTGTGGTGATAAAACTCTTTGCAAACATACGGACAAATACCATGATAAACAGTGAACAACAACACAGCAAGTGATGTAACTTTAGCTAAGTTGTGGGTTATCAAACTGTCGCTACAGTAGCAGCTGTGAAGCTAACATGCAGACAGGACCCAGTTTCCTAGAGCCAGCAACAGTTCCAGACAGCAATACTCCCAACTCTCCTGCTACAACAGACAAAACAATACTGACAGACTGTTCTGTGAAACCATAGACTGTATACCAGAAGTGGACATGACCAATTGGTTTGTGGAAGTGTCGAGTTTGGCATTTTGTTCACTATCTTGGTTTTTTGGAACCAGACATCACGGACCCGACCATATTTAGACTAGCACGTGGGAGCTAGCTAGCTTGGTAAGGCAACCAAAATGTTACAATTAACTGTCATGAACTGAATACACACTGAGAAAGCGTCAAAGTTATTAGGCAAAAACACCGACAGCACTCATAAACAGGTTTATGTCCTGTTAAATACGATTTTTCAGTGGTGCAACGTAAATGTACACAGTGCAGTTTATAGGAGTTGCCTCAATCCTGATTGACAGGTTGCTGTGGTAGCGACCAAAAGCACAAGCTGTCGTCTGTTTTCCTCTAACATTGGAACATAATTTACAAAATGAACATCATGCTGTATTAAAGAAGACTTGAAACGGTTGAGACCATAAACGCATTAGATTGTTTCCAATTTACAGAAGGCTGTGTATAAACACTGGATTTTGTTTTTTCAGCGCACACAGAACAGACAGCTTGCAAATTGTATTGGTTAGCTTTCTCCATAATTGCACCACCTTTAAAGTTTGTAGTGTGTAAAGCTGATGATACACGGAGCAACTTTTAGAGCAATGGTGCTGGGCAATGTTGCCGTCAATGGTAATGAGTAAAGATTACTACCATAATCCCCTTCCCCCACCCCGCCACTCATCCCACCCTGCCGCTGTCCATTCAAAACATAGTCGGACTCACCAGCAAGATTGCCCAGCAACATTGCTGAAAAAGTTGCCCAGTGTATCATCAGCTTCAGTTTTAATAGCTTCTAGTGGTGAGGGTTGCGAATGGCAAACCTACAGTCTATGATTGCAACCAGCGGCTCAGGGTGCATTAACGTGCTCCTCGGATGGTCCTATTTGCCAAGTTGTGAAGTTGTTCTTATGACTTCAGTGTGTGTTCAACATGGACGCTGCTACAAAGATGTGTTTGATTAGCATTATCAGAGCATATAAACAACACGCAGACATCTAGTTCACTCTACATGGACAGCAAACTAACCGTTATAACTATATCACACAAATAATACCTGTGGGCCTCCATATGTCCAAATTTCTCTTCTTACATCTAATAAACGAGTCGACTACTACTACTACTAACATTACTTGGTCTTCTTCTTCGTATGTATTCAACGTAGTGACAAAACCATAGACTGTATATAAAAATGACAAAACGCGCTCTGTAGAGCCCTTTGACCGTGGGCTACTGTAGAAACATGGCATGGTCCATTTAAGAGGACGCGCAGTGTATGTCGATATTAATGGCTCTTTCTAAGGTAATAAAAACACAAGGTTCATTATGTAAAGTTTTTATACACCACTGAAAACACAGCATAGGTCCTCCTAAATATTATACACTGAGCCTTTAAGTATGCTGACATCTCAAATAGTGACGCCCTTTACGTACAGACTTCTAGCTCACATTGTCAGCTCATAAATATGCCACAGGCGGTTTGTTTAAGCAGCTCTGTCATTTAATTTACTGACAATAATAGGATGAACTTCAACTAACTATGACACCAAGATGAGATGTTGAGGACACACAATGAGAAACATCCCCTTTGCGTTCAAGAGACAATTTTTATATCAAGCGAGACGAGAGAACCCTCAAGTAACGTTATGTGGATATATTCTGGAGTGTTGTAACGTTATGTGGATATATTCTGGAGTGCTGTAACTTTATGTGGATATATTCTGGAGTGTTGTAACGTTATGTGGATATATTCTGGAGTGTTGTAACGTTATGTGGATATATTCTGGAGTGTTGTAACGTTAGCTTTTGATCACTTAAAACTTGTCACAAACTCACGTCGGTAAGTTTTCAGATCCCATCACTACACTCTGAATGTAAAGTTTACCTTCGCCATTTAGTACAGAGTACACACTGACTGAAAGAGTCAACGAGTCAGAAGAAATCTTTGGTGCAGCCCTACTGCCAGAGGAAAATCGCAGCAGAGACATGACAGCTAACAGTGGTTAGCATAGAGTGCTGCGACAAGCTAATGGAGGCGATGATGCTACACACACCGGAAGTAGGGTCCAATAAAGTATCTTTTTTCTTGCTTTTTTTATATAGGGAAGTTAGTACGAGGACACATTAATAGGACGCGATAAGCTAATGTAAACGGTACACTATATCTCAGGAAAAGGACATTTCACCAGTGGCCTGGCTTAGTGAATCTTTATGTGTAACGTTATTTTTAAAAGAATAACTTACGCTAGGTCAGAGATTTTATTCCGTGCAACGTCAAACCAGCCCTGTCGTGCTTTTATTATGAAATACCGCACCGGAAGCTGTGTTATTTTTGTGGTTGCTCTGACAGGTCGCCCAACGTGGAGGAAAGGATGTGGGTTTGCTGACATCTGCAAGCCAGAGGTTTAACTGGAAGGCAACCGGACTCACGAACAACGGCCTTAGAAACCTCGAAGCAACTCCGAGACATGTAACTTATTGTGAAGGTAAACTCTGACAAGCTTAGCTCGTATTTTCTTAAGAGAAATGCGCCTTTGTAACTGTTATTTACCCTGTGTTGAAAGTAGTTTCCTTGCTGGCGATGTCGGTAACTTATAATGCATTCCTGACTTCCTTGCTTGTTTACCGGTGAAGTCACACAGTCGGCGCGGCGGTTTGACAGCGAAGTTGACTACAGCAGATTTACAAATTACCGACAGGCGAATATTTAGCTACACATAGTCGTTTATCGTAGATGTGTCTCTTTGGAAAGTAGAGATTTGGCATTATTCTTCTGAGTCACTGCTGCTCCAATCTGCACGGTCATTAAGAGATCAGATCAAGCTTTCATCCTCAGCTGACTTTTAAGACAAACTGTGATCTTAACATCAATTAGACGAGAAGACCTGTTGCTCAACTTTGTGTTTATGACTGCAGGCATACTCCTAACAGCCAGGGACTCACTTACTTAATTCTCTATCCTATATGTGAAACCTATTTCCTCACCAACCGACCGAGAAGATAATGCCTTGAAGTTATTTCAATAGATAGCGCCCTCGAGTCATTTCTTTCAGTATAGTTGTAAAAGACACTGACTTTTACTTTTGCTTTCAAGTGGAGTATTTTTTTTTTTTTAGCATCCGATCTGCTCAAGTAAAGCCGGAGAAGAGAAGCAGCATTTGTAAAAGCTCACTGTTTTATAGCACAGTTCAAGTCTGTGTGGGTTTTATTTGGATATGTGTCAGAGACGTTGTGATGGGGGAAAAAACCTCCTCACTACCCAGCTTTTAAATGAAGCCTGCCATCAGTCATCGCAGCCTGGCTCCTTTTAAACACTTGCTGTCAGCATTGTATACACAGAATGTTATCAGAAAAGAGATGTTTGTGTTGTTGTGAAGAGTCAGTGATCCCGTCTTACAGGTCTTTTACAAACTGAAAAAGGCCAACCGGTTAGTGGGGAGTGTTCCTTTGTCAACTGGTGTTTGTATAACCTGTTCCACTAGTACTTGTTGGATATTACACACGTTCTGGCTATTTGTACTTCCGAATACTAAAACCTCAGTGCTGACATCTGAGAATCAAGTGACTCCAACGTCAAGCCTAGTTTGTTTCTTCTGTATAACTGCAGCCAGTCTGTATATGTTAATTACTGGCCCATCTTTTTCATTGCGCTCTCTTTTTAAAGTCTTGTTAGCGTGACGGGGTGAAACATGCACCACAGATTACAGCCTGGGAAGCAAAGACAAATCTTATCACTCGCTTTTTTGTTTCATTCCCTCTTAGCCAAAAAGTGGAGCAGGATTTAAGCTGCATTTTAGGCCTCTGTGCCCTCCTGCTCGTTCCAAACAGCTACCCAGTAAGGCTATCAGATTCAGAGAGAGTCTGAGGTGTGATGGACAGCTAATAAAAGGGGGTTTTGTCTGCAGGCGTCTCCATTTTGTAACCTCAGGACTCCCGAGTCGTCTGGCCAGGGTCCAGGCTGGAGTGAAAGGGCTGTGTTGCTGCCTTGAAGGACTCAGCAAAATGTAATTGAGTTTTTCTACCATAGATGTTTAGACTCTCGACTGGCACACACCCTTTTTATTTGACAGCATTTTCTCTGAAGTTACAGAAAGTCAAACCTTTCCCAGGATTAACCAGTTTTTGCAGAATTGGTAAATAACCATCATTGTGCTCCAGAAGAATAAGCACTGCTGGTGTGTGCGCGTGCATCAGTATTGCTGCTAAGCCTGTCTGGCACTGGCTGGCACAACTGTAAATGGCACCCTGCTCTAATATTAATGCAACACAATTATGTGATTACATTTAATTCAATGTCAACATAGCTAAGTGGTCTGTTTTTACCGCAGCCCTCTTTCAAATCCTGGCATGCTGAGCTGATCTGTCAGACACAAATGTCTAAATAGCTGTCTTCGTGTGTTCACAAACCCAAGCTAATCCTATTTTTAAATCAAGAAAAAAAAAAGGTTTCTATCCCACCCAGGTTTTTGGGCAACTACTTTTTGTTTGGCTCAGTGGAAGGAAAATGAAGAACACTTGCTTTTGATACATTGTATAGGTTAGGAACATTGCAAAAGCTTCACTGACAATGTGAATCATCAGGTCAAAGTTTTCCAGAACAATTTTAGCTGTAGCTGAAAGTGACATGATATGATCTTTTGGACAAAAGACGGGGGTGTTCTTACAGCAGGAAAGGTGCTGTGTGAAGTGGCTTAGTGGAAACCTCACATGAAGGTGTAAAAATATACAGCAGCACAGTTGTTCTCCGCATATAAGATTCATTGTGATGCAGTGTGCCTAAAACTGCATCCTTTGTAATGAAGTTCATCAGATCAGAGTGCATAACAGACTCACTTTATTCAGCACATTAATGTACTCTCAGCCATAATTTAGCCTCTTCCGTCTTTGCAATTTGTATGTAATGAGCATCTTAAGGCAGCCCTGAGCATGCGATTATATTTATGATGTTGTTGTTGATTACTACTGGTCTGGTATATTGGAGCTTTGTCCGCAGGGCGCTTGTGAGGCAAGCATCTTTTTTTGGGTGTAAGTGTTTTTGTGAATAACTTAATTGTGAGAGCTTTGATTAGAGAGTTCAGCCTTGTAAGCAGTAGTTACTTAGTGCTGTGTTTGGATTTGTCTCACAATACCTACATGTTTCTGTTTTTAAATTAATCCTATGTCTCTTTCTGTTCTCCAGAAGCTTGTGTCCTGTAGGGCACCCCAAAGCTCAGCTTGTCACGGTGCCTCCCTGGGGCTTTCTATCATGAGGGGGCGTTGCTCTCGAAAACTGGGCGTGCTGGCCAAGGCAGGCTTCCTGCTGTGGCTGCTGTGGCTGGGCTACCTTCTTTTAGCCCGCTCTGCTCTCCCTTCCTCTTCCTCTGGAGAGGAGGAAGACAATGACCACAATCTCCAGGCGAGGCAGCTCCCTATAGAGGAGAGTGGGGCTGATGGGCAGCTGGCTAGGCCTCTCTACGTTAAGTCTCCACCAGACAGTAATGCACCGGGAGAGTGGGGTCGGGCCGCACACCTAAACCTCAGCCCTGAAGAAAAGAAGGAGGAGCAGGACAGTGTGGAGCGCTACGCCATCAATATCTATGTCAGTGATAAGATTTCCCTCCATCGGCACATCCAAGACCACAGGATGAATGAGTAAGTAGAATAAAAAGGCATCCTAAACACGAATGAGCCAATAGTCCGAAGTTGACTAAAATAGTTTTCTTGAAAATCACACTTTTTTATTGCTTGCCATTTTCTTTGAAGTTCCAGCCAAAACATGCAGTGTATGTATCTCTGGCCTTGAACGCTGCAGAGGGAGTTGATAGCTGTGCTACAACTGTGTCAGGGATAAATCACTCAATAGAGATTAAGTTGAGCTCTTTACTGGAATCAGTTTTCCACTGACAGTTTGAAACAAGGATGGAGGCTCTCATGATGCATTGCAGGGTTTATTGAAGCTGGTGCGAGCAGCTCTCTGCCTGAATGGATTTATTCCACCCAGAATTGTTGTGCACAGCTATTCTCAGCTCATCCTCTGTGATGAAACACAGAGTGTGATGTATTTTATTAGTAGTTTTGCCTTCCACCGCCCTTTGCCTTATCCCTTACTGGCTCCCATCCTAATGAAACCCAGATTAAGTGTGTCCATCAATGTGGTGGAAACCATTGATTGTGTAAACGCTGTGTGTTTTTGTTTTTTTACATGCCCTGGAGTGCCCCAGTTAAGCATAGATTCTCTTTAGCAGTGGATTCATGATTACATCTAAGGATACATATTCTCAATTGCATTCAGCATGTCATGGTTCGACACTGAACTGCAGACACAGAAAAATGAATCTCAGAGGTCGCCCCGGTGAAACTGTAATAAATCATTTTACCAGCGGGATGCCTGCATATCCAAAGGTAGACTGTAAAGATGCTTTGATCTTCTCACAGGGCTGAGGAACTCGCCGGGAAGGTTGAAAGTCAGACCCTGTGCTTACGCAAGGGTAACATTCAAACAACATATCATTATCTCTCCTGCAGCTTTATAGCATTTCAAGGCAGCATTTTGTTTTAAAACAGTCACTGCACTTTTGTCACTTTTATGACGTGGCATGATGGGACTTTGCGCTGGCAGGGAGACATTTCTGACAAGTGCACATTTTATTTCCTTTGCTTGCTACCTTTTGGTGTTTTGGTGACTGGTTCTTGTACATCTGATGTAAGTGGTAGTACAGATGCAGTAAGGAGTGAGCTGGCAGGGTTGAAGTGGGTTGCGATTTTGGTGTCAAGGAACTCATGTGCTTCTCCGTCCGCCTGCCCATACCATGACGGAGGTGCAAGACACAGTGGTGCTCAGTGCTATTTTTGCATGAACAGATTCTATTCATAAGCTTACAGACTTGTTTTGTGGATGATATGTCAGCTAGTTCTACTTTGATAATGTTTTTATAATTATACACATGTAGCTGAGCTGTGAATGACGTCCGGCATTGATCCGCCAGTCAGCAGGGTTGGGTATTGAGAACTGGTTCCAAGTTGGAACCGTTACCAAATTGCCAAGAACCTTGCATTCGTTAAGACATGTGCATTTTGATTCTGCTTATCGTTTCCTAAGTTTTTTTGCATATTGCAGTCGTTCTGAAACTGCAGTGAGCATTTTATAGTCCATAAAAGTACTTATCTGCCAGGACCTGCTTCACGGACCTACAACAAAGCATGCGAGAAGAGAGTACTTCTGTTTACATTCCTGGACCATGGCGGACCGCAGCAAATGCTCCAAAGTTTGGCTTATCTAAAAAAGAGAACGACACAGCAAAATGTGTCTGTGTCAGTGACGTCGCAGACACAGCTAATGCTAACGTCACACACTCAGGTATAAAACACAGATGAGTTGACGTTCACCTTTTATAGTGAAAGTAAACGAATGATGACCACAAATTATTCCAATATATATTTTCCTTAGATCCTGTTTTTATATGAGTCTCCATAGACACCCCTCTAGTACAGAAACTCCTTTCCCTTTAGCCATGGGAAACTGGGATTTGATAAGAACCAGATTTGATAAGTAGACTCGGAATCATAAGTGGTGAAATGAAATTGAAAGGACACCTAACCCTACAAGTCAGTCACCAGGGCGTGAGATTTAATTTGAATCCTTCACAGAAATCAGATGGTGCATGTCTCCTTTTGTTGTTGTGTGCTGCCGTTTCTGTTTTTCTTTATGCATAGCAACACTGTAAGCAAATGTGTCACGTCCTCTCAACCTAATTTATTTTAAGGTGGTATTGCAGTTCTGCACCTACTCCATAGTTGCATCACTTTCCTCCAGTGAGCAGGTTTTGTGGCAGATTCACTTTAGACTGCTCTCTCATGATTGGCTGTGACTAGGCTAATGCTAGGGCATAACATATTTGTTCTAACCCCAACCCACTTCCAACAGTGTCATAGTTGTGGGTTTAGCCCCTGGCTACAAACTTACCAGAAGTAATTTAGCCTGTGTCAGTGTTTACACTGTCAGTGTTGTATGCCACTGATTCATAAAAATAGAGCTCACAGAAGGCTCTCTTTCTCATGTTTTTTTTCTCCCTCCATGCCTCCTTTGTTCTCATTCTCTCAATTTTCCAGTTTTTCACTTCAATTTTCCTCCAGTGTTGCCCTGTCCCCCCTCTCTGTTCTGCTCTCTTCTCTGTTTGTTCAAGTTTCTGTGGTCTGTCCAAGAGCACTGCTGTGGTATGTTGCTCACTGGTGTGATACCCTACCCACCCCCATCCATATTTCTGCTGCTCGTTATTGTTTTAATGACTGCCATCTGGATTAAGACCAGACACTCCTCCTGCCTCAATAGCTGCTGAAGCCGATCTGGCCATATGAAAAAAGTATGTACTGTTGCTTATGTGAACTGTGTCTGTCTCTTCCCCCACCCCACCCCGCCCCACCCACGCACACAAACACACCTCAGATGCCGAAGTAAGAAGTTTGACTACCGGCATTTACCCACCACCTCTGTGATCATAGCCTTCTACAACGAGGCCTGGTCCACCCTGCTGAGGACAGTTCACAGTGTCCTGGAGACCACGCCTGCCATCCTGTTGAAAGAGATCATCCTTATTGACGACTACAGTGACCGAGGTCTGACCCTCTACACTGATAAATAAACTAATGTGTTATTTCTTTGTCTGTAAGAATAAAAATGAAGGGAAAAAGTCTTTCAAGCCCAGGAACAGAGAGGACTGACAGTCTTGGCCTAGTTCAGTAAAGCGGACAAACCAAACCTCAGTTGTGCTCTGATGTCTTCGCATTGACAGCGTACAAGAGAACGAGTCGAGCAGCAGTCTGCTATATATAGAAATAAAGATCCTATCTGTGGGAACAGTGAATAGAAAATGTCCCCAGATTTGTTCCAACATCAATAAGAACAAAAAACATCCTCAAAAACCTGTTAGGACACCTTATATTAATGACGGAATTAGGTGCACTTGAAGGATAGCAGACTCTTATCTCCAGGCCCAAAACAAAAAGGCAAAACAAGAACTACTTCATGTATTGTATCTTGAATGTAGCTGTGCAGTGTCAGCATCTATGTGACACAGGTTTGAAAATCTGCTTGGAAGTTCATCTTGGGAAAAGTATGTGACAAAATAGTCTCAACTCAAAGGTCAACTTACTAGCTTTTCTGAGCTTTCGACCACATCTCACTGTCTCCATCAGTGAATGGAATATGAACTGATTTCGGTGGACCCCTGCTAACTCTGAATGAAGTCTTAGAAACTGGATATAGGAATAGCTTGATGTCCATCTGTCTTAATGGAATTAGTATTCAGTCCCAGCTAGTCTGTATATCGGAGACATTACGCCATGATTACTTCAGTGTGCAATGAGCTGCCATGACATCATTTCCTCTCCTCTGACCACCCTGCCTAAATGCAATGCTAGACATGCCACTCCCCAACCAGGACGGTGACTTCGGCCAGACAGCGACTGGAGGACTGACAGCTTTCTCTCATGTTTCCAACTTGGTTGAACAGGATCTTGCATACCAAGCCTTGTATTAACCTCACTTGCCCTTAGACCATAAAAGGAGTGCTGATGACACAATGTATGTTTTAATGTGATGTACTCACAAGATAAATGTGCAATAAATATTAGTTACTGGTATTTCACATAGCATTACATAGCACAACAGAGGAAAGGGAAACAGAATATTGGACCTACATTCATTGGGTGGTGACAACTCCAAATGAATGCCATGTTTGCTAAAATGTTAGCCATTAGAAACTTTATAAGCTACTGGTTGGGCAGTAGCTGTTTATCTCTCAGTTTGCTTTGTCTTTTCTTCTGTCCTCTAGTGGCCAAAATGTTGGACGAGGAAATAACGTTACTTTAATGTTACATGGATGTGTGTGTGTGTGTGTTATGACAAATAGGCTACCTGAAATCCCAACTAGCTGACTACATCAGCAATCTGAAACGTGTGCGACTTATCCGCACCAACAAAAGGGAGGGTCTGGTCCGGGCACGTCTCATCGGTGCCACCTATGCTACTGGTGATGTACTGACATTCCTTGATTGCCACTGTGAGTGCGTCCCTGGCTGGATTGAGCCTCTGCTGGAAAGGTGGGTTGATCATATTAGATGGGTAACAGCTTTCTGAAGATTTAAACTCAAAGAAACTTTTGTGTTTTGTATTTGTACAAAGGTGAAAGCAACACCAAATACTAAACCAGTTTTGTGTTTTTGTCTTTTTTTCCCCCCTCCCCCTTTTTTTCTACACATTATTGGCCATGCTGGGTGTTTAGGATTGGCGAGAATGCCAGTACCATCGTGTGTCCTGTGATCGACACCATCGACTGGAACACCTTTGAGTTTTACATGCAGACGGACGAGCCGATGATCGGAGGTTTTGACTGGAGACTGACATTTCAATGGCACTCAGTCCCAGCAGTGGAACGCAAGAGGCGCAAGTCTCGCATCGACCCCATCAGGTGACAGTATGATACTTAACAATGTCTACTCCCACGGGAGATCACTTTATCAGATTGGCACCCACCAGTGTAGAGAGGTCTGCTCTTAAAAATGTGATACACCTCTCACCCTTTCTTTCTTTCTTTCTTTCCCTTTTCTCACTTTTCGTTAAAAGTGTTTGGGCAGCAAAAACTGCTGGCCGAAAACGCACCAAAATTGGCACGTAGGTTGCAAATTCCACCACTACTCAGGCAAAAAAAATGACCATAGACCTCATGGTGGCTATAACAACTAACTTTGCGTTTTTGCAATTATCTCGGAAACTGCTTCATTTAGAGTCAAACTTCTTTCATCATTTTAACCTCTGGATTCATCTGCATATTTGCTTCAATGGTCTTCTGCTCCAAAAATGTCAAATTATGTGACTTTTTATCACTTCTCACAAAAACCTATTTTTGCAAACTCGTCCCAGACGGTTTTGCCAATTGACCTGAAACTTTGGCAGGATCATCTACAGATGTCACTGATCAAAAGTTATCAAAAGAATTTTGATACGTCAATCTGTTTTTTTTCCCATAAATTTTTACTTTTGTGTATTTACGTACAATTTTACGTAAATGCCCGTAAATCCAAAGTTGGCTTAAGCTAATGTAACCAAACTTGACGAGTCCGTTCAGATGCTCGGTCCAAGCTTCGTTGAGCAGTCCTGGGATATTCTTCCACTAGGGGGTGCTACACTCGCCAAAATTCATACCTCACAATTCGCTGCATGGATTCAAACAAAATTTGGATTGTACAATCTAGGGTTACTACTCATTTGAGGCATAAAATTTGGTAATGATTGCTCAAACTGGGCGTGGCTTATTACAAGAAATGTAAATTTCTAGACATTTCTCATTCCAAGCTTCAATTAATCGACGAAAATCACCCGTACGTCCTAGAAAGCTGAAATTTTTACAGCACATTAATGAACATCTACATCTCCACAAGTCTTTCTTCAAACGCTACCAAAATCGACACAGTTGTTCTGTAGATGGCCGATATGAAGTGTCACAAAGGATTTTCAGATTGGTCAAATGGTGAGTCTGCAGTGATATTCAGTATCTTGCCATAACTTGTGATGTCACTACCTGAACTTGTGAGAAGGTGTATGGAAACAGCCTCTCACCAGTGCCTCAGCCAGTGAGTCACCGACTTTGGAAATCTGAAGTTCCAGGGTTCAAATCCCCAGGTGACTGAGTCAGACTTGCTCAAATAGAGGTGTTCAGATCATAGTGAGTCTAAGATCTCTATTTTATTTGGATCCCGTGACACTTTCTTCTTATTTTTCTCTGCTTAAAAGTGTTTGTGCAGCTTAAACTTTAAATCTTGGAAACACAGAATGCTGCAGGTGGATTGAACATGTCACCAAGTAGTCAGGTACATATAATAACACTTTCTGATCTCGAGGTTATGCTGTAAAAATCAAGTTTGCGTTTCCCCAATTATCTGAAAGTCCAAATTATTTCATCACTTTAATCTCTTAAGTCGTCTGCGTCTGTTCTTCTCCTCTGAAAATGTCAAATGTTGCGTTTTTCACGACTTGCTTGGATCCCGATTATTGCTGCTCGCGGCTATATTTTATTATTACTTTATTACTTCCTTACTACATTTCCACTTCTATTGCACTCTAAGAATGTTTGACTGATGTGTTACTTGGGTCAATAAATCTACATAATCAGGGTGATTTATTAACTTTTGTTAATTTTTAACAATCCCATACTGAAAACATTTGTTGTATTCTAATTATCAATCCTCCTTTTAGTTTTGTTATACACACATAATACAGTAATAAACAACACAAACTGTCAGAGATATGGGAATACAATCCACAACTTTGTTATCAACTTTTAGTTCACCCTGCCTCCAGGTGAAGCTGCCACTTTGCATGAAATATTGTGTGGGGGAGAGGCAGTGCTTTAATGATGCTGTGGGTTGAAAGGTGAAAGTCTGTTGCTCTTTATATAGTCTCTTGTGCTTGTGATCACAACTAGCTGTGGTGCATGATTTTACAAATTTATATTATGAAGTCTTTCCCACCAGACCTTGCAGCAACCACTACATGGCAAGTCAAGTCAATGTATTTTTAAAGCACATTTAAAAACAACCTCTGTTGAACAAAGTTCTGTACAAAGTAATGCAATTGCAAACAACACAAAAAAGCAGATCAATCAGATAAAAACATACAGCAATAATAAAACATCAACAATGACGAAACATACAGCAATAAATAGAACAGGACAGATAAGCATCAGTGTCCCTATACTGACTCGAACGCCTAAGAATAAAAATACATTCTAAGACGAGTCTCGTCTTAGAATGTAGTCAGGCATGATCTAATGAAAATGGGAAGTTCATTCCTTGTGGCCACACGAAAGGCACAATCTCCCCTGTCTTCAGTCGAGCCTGTGGAATAGCTAAAAAACAAGCATGATTATTAGCTTGGGTGTACATACTCTTTAAATGCTTCTTTTATTAATGTGGTTCACGTCTTCTTAAGGCGGTGTAATCGAAAACAGACAATTCACGTCTGTGGAAGCTGTTAGGATTGGAAAATGAATTACCATTCTAAAGTATTTTCACTGTTTTGCCCAGGTCTCCGACAATGGCAGGTGGATTATTTGCTGTGAGCAAGGCCTACTTTGAGCACCTGGGCACATATGACATGGGCATGGACGTGTGGGGAGGAGAAAACCTGGAGCTCTCTTTTAGGGTGAGTTCAGTTCTCCTTCAGTGAGGACCACTTCTTTTACCTATGCCACTTCGCAATATGAGACCAAAGAACGGCTTTTTAAAAAAAATATTGGGAAAACTGATTCATTCAGGTTGTTTTCTTTTGAATGAGATAAAGAGTAGACAGAAAAATAAATTAATTGAGGTTTATTTTCAATTCTTTACCAAAGAAAATATTTTTTATGGCCTTTGATTCATCCATCTAACAGCAAACAGTCTGTGGGTAGCTGATGTGAGAGCGACACATGTCAGTGTCAGATCACTTGTCAGCCATGACACCTGAAACTGCACCCTGGTATTGGCTGATGTGATATCGGTGTCGCTTTTCACTTGTTTGCGTCAATCAAATTGGCACAGATTTTAAGCTATGGGTGTGTTTGTAGCTGGAGCACACAAATTGTGTGTGCATGATTGAAAGAGTGTATGTGGTTTCAGTGTGAAGACGAATGGGTTGTTTTCCAGAGTGATGCGTGGTGCATGTGGAAGTAAAAATTCCTCTCACTGGGGACTTTTTTGCCATACATAATTTATGTTTATAGAATTGATTTTCAACCTTGTTTTTGGAGTGCTAAAAAAATATGGTGCGGGGAAAAACGCCTGGTGAATTAAGATGGAAGGCACTGTCGTGTTTGGCTATGGATATATGATAATGATTTCGCCTTGTGTAATTGGAACATAGCTCAGCCAAGTATTAAGAAAGACCATGTTAACAGCCTTTCATTTTTTAAGGTTGTAGTTTTTTTTCCCTTCTTGTTTTTCCGTGGTGGAAGATCAAGCAATTATACAATGTAAATTTATACTATAAATCAGAGCTGTTTTCAAATGCACTCTTATGACTCACAAGAAGCAGGGGTTGGATTTTCATGGTGAGACTGTGCACAGCTTTGTTCATCATTCAGAGGGGATCTCTAGCATAGCACCACAAACATCATCATTTTATTTGTATTAAAATTTGTATCCTCCTTCAAGGAGACATTTAGGCTAATATGTATGGACACAAATAGTATACAATTTAATATGTACTCAAGGACAGATCAGGCAGACTGCTTGCAATCTTACAAATTACCTGGTGGTTTATTGGCAGGTAAGTCAAACAGACAAAGTTCACAGTTGTTGTCACATCATTTCAACACATGCGGTTTATAATAGACCATGAGCTTGGTTAATAAATGAACCATTTCCTGCTGATCCTGCTGATGTGTACATCATTGTAACAGCCCACATGGAAAGATTAACAACACTACATGCTGCTGTCTTTAAGAGTTCATTGTGTTCAACCACAAAAATATAGAATATGTATTCCAAAAATACTTTAAAAAGGAATGTTAGGAGGTTAATGGAAGATCTAATCTTAAAAAAGATGTCATGTGTTCAACCTCCTCAGGTGTGGCAGTGTGGGGGTAGCCTGGAGATTCACCCTTGCTCTCATGTGGGCCATGTCTTCCCAAAAAAGGCCCCTTATGCACGGCCCAACTTCCTCCAGAATACTGTACGAGCTGCAGAGGTTTGGATGGACTCTTATAAACAACACTTCTACAACAGGAATCCTCCAGCCAGAAAGGTAGGACAGTTACAAATAAAAGGAAAAAAGTATGTAAACAGTATGTCTAGACAGAAGCAGGAACACAAGAAGCTGACATTAGAATACTCCCAGAATCATATGTGGAAAAACACCTTCTCTTGACACTGAACCCTACAGGAATGCCACGTTACACCTAACAGCACCATGTTACAGGGCTGCTTACCTTTGATGTTAGATTTAGATGTTTTATATGATATGATTTACCTACTTAGATGTCAACATATGATGAAACACTGTCCGTCTGACTGGGTCAGGCGTATGTGCACGTACCGCGTGTGCTGTGCCTCTCAGGTTCTGAGTATTGGGCACCATCAAAAATTCATGTGTCTCAGTTTCACCTATCTGAAAAAAAAGTACATTATTAATGTCAGGGATCTTTGATCAAACAATAAATTACCTGGTCAGGGGGAGATTGAGCACAGTACTGCAAGACCAGATCACCAGCTGCTGTCATAATATGTTAACAGACTGCAGAGCTATAGACAGTAATCTTGGAAATAGTGCGTCATCCATTTTCATTAAGTGCATTTAGTTACTTGATGTTCAGTTTTTTTTTTTTTTTTGCAATGTTCAAACAGATGGACGACCAGTTTACTGTCTTCCAGATTTATTATAAGCAGGTTCTAAATTATTTTCCCAAGAACACCCAGCAGTCATTGTTACTGAGAGTCTGTGTCCTGGATTTGGAGATTTATTGTAGACTGGTTTAGATGTATTAAGAGTTATCACAAAGGATTAAAAAAAGGATTTAAAATCTTATTTATTTATTTGTTTTTACGAGAAACTGCATTCTCCATTGTTCATCTCAGCAACATGTTCTTTGTATTCTGATCTTGAAACACTAGCTGGGGCACTAAGTTTGTGACTGAAATAGTTTAGTGTATCTGTGAGACCCAATAGTGACATTTCACCCTCATGCAGTGCAAATATTTAAGGTGTGTGAGTGTTCTGGACTTTGAGTTGCTTAAGGCGGAGTTCCCTACCTCTGCAAACTAAGCTATCTTATCACCTGCTACTTGGTGATGCCATTAGGTTATGGTTGTTTAGATTCATGTAGGATTCAGCTTTGATATCCAGGATTTAACTATTTACCTTTACGGGGTGATTATTTGTTTTTTTACTGAAGGTGCCTCAAATATTGAATTAAGTTAACTAGGCGTGTCCTTGATAAACTTTAGCAACCTCGCCTGCCAGTGAAAGACATCTAGATCCACACCGATTTTGGAAAGGTGTTCATTGTGTGCTTATGTTACAGGAAACCTATGGGGATGTCTCAGAGCGACTGCTGCTGAGGGAGAGGCTGAAATGCAACAGTTTTGATTGGTATCTGAAGAATGTCTACCCTGAACTACATGTACCTGAGGACAGGCCGGGCTGGCACGGGGCTGTGAGTGTTTGCTATGCATATCTGTATTCCTAACCAGAGATCATTTCCTGATTTGCACCAGCCTAGTTACTGAAGTGAAAAAGAAATGGCATTGCAGTTGTGTTATGTTTTCTTAATTCCATTTATTTTGAACCTGAAACTGGGTGTTACGCTGGTGCATGATATAGGAAAGTTCTGTGTAATGTGATAAGGATGGACAAACAAGACGAACAAGTCTTTGAAACACATTTGGACTGGACTCAAGACCATTATCAGCCAGACAGCTGGTGGATTATTCCAACAAAATTCTTGGGTGGCTCAATGTTGGGTTTTGAAATTAATATATTTCAGCCACCATGATGTAACCATTGTGTCTGTATGTGACCTTACAGTTGGACCTGCCTGTAGAGAATAAAACCAACAAGAGAAACTACAGCATTGTATTTTTTGCTGATTGTTACTAACTATGTATTCTTCTCTTCCTGCCAGGTGCGCAGCTCGGGGATACACTCAGAGTGTCTTGACTACAATGCTCCAGAGCACAGTCCCACAGGTTCCCACCTTTCTCTGTTCAGCTGCCATGGCCAGGGAGGCAACCAGGTACATTAAGCAATCCACGCTTTTGTTCTGTCTTTCTCTCTTGTGCACGTATTTTCTCTTGTCAATGACAATGTCACAACCTCTCTTGGCCCAGTGAGAGATGTAACTGAAAATGTCAGCGCTTTCTGTTCACCCCTAAAACGAGCTGCCACAGTTGATTCCCGCCAGAAAATTGCTCTCTGCTGCTGTGTCCAGCACGACTTGAATGTAATGAAGGGAAAAACTAAGTTTGGTATTGTATCCACATATAGCTGAAAATAGTGTGCAATTCAATCACTGGTACTTTTAAACTGAATACCTGCCAACAAAATTGATGGATGATTTAGCAACCAGCAGATTATTTGTCTGTGAGGATGTATATTTAATGTTGGAGTCAGACAATAGGCAGAGTTCCTTTCTGTGAATCTCCAACCTGCTTCTATCTCTGATTACCCCACTGATGCACTGCATCAGGTGTCTCCAGTCACAAAAAGCACCATGTGTGACTGAAAATCAATGTTTGAATGGCTCCCCGCTGAAACAAAAACCTGAGGGCCCTCCACCTGCCTCCCTCCTGCTCCCCCTTTCCTGGCCCACATAAGAACCACGTTCCATTTAAAAGATACATGAGACTCCCAGGCAGAATGAATGGCACAGCCTGGGTAAATAAGTTTGAAGCCAGACACAGGGGCCCCGGGTGAGTCTTTTAAATGACCATTACGGGCCCCGAAGCACCTGAAAGATGTATGAGATGTGAAGAGAAGGATGGGGAAGTATGAAGATTGAATACCTGACCCTACGTTTAACAGGTAGCCTAGGGAGTGTTGTATCTTTTGTCCCTATGGGCCTGCATGTTGAAATCATGTTTGTGTTCACGTCTAGCTGATTGAGAGGGCCAAGGCCCTGTCTCTGCTGATGAGATCCCTCGACACGCACGCAGACATGGTAGCTTAGCCAGGACTTGATCCCACAGCAGAATAAGAGGAAAACATCCTGTAATCCCAGGAGAAAAAAACATGCCAAACTGCCCTATTGTGCCTGTTGAAAGGCTTCCCTAATAAAGAAGAGAGATTACGGTTAAAAGAGAGATTAACCAAAACAACTGGAGAGGAGGCAGAGCAGTGTTTTAATCTCAGTGACTACTCTCCGGTTGGAAAAAGTAATTTTATTTGCCATGAAATCAAAGACACACACATTCATGCTGTATATTCAGAACAAATAACCACGTAACCGTGCCTCTCTTCTGCTGCAGTACTTTGAATATACATCTCAAAAGGAGATCCGTTTCAACTCAGTGACAGAGCTGTGTGCTGAAGTACTCGAGGGGCAGACGTCCATCGGCATGAGGCACTGTCCTAGTGATAGAGAGCTCAAACCCCCTAGCATCATCTGGGAGTTCAGAAAGGTAGGGGTTCACACACACATTGCACTCTCTAAGGACTAAATTTCACACACATTCTTATTCTACCTCTAATCGAAATGTTCTCCTTAAATCCCCTCAGGACGGGACCATCTACCATCCCCACTCAGACATGTGTGTGACAACCTACCGCACACCAGAGGGCCGCACAGACGCACAGATGAGGCAGTGTAATCCAGGAGACAAAAACCAGCAGTGGAAGTTTGAGTGGTAGGAGGAGGGAGAGAGGAAGTAGCAGGGAACCTCAAGTGACCTTGTTTTACCATAGTGCAATTACTAGAGTGGATGTCTTCTTCGCTGCTCTCAATTCTCTCCCAGTCTGCACTCAATCTGAATGGGAATGACGAGCAAATAAAAAGGTGCTGAAAAACTTTAAGCCAGCGATTAACCCAACTCGGCGCTTTTTATACCCATGTGAATGAGAATGAGAATTGCAAGGCGAGGGTTTATTTGGTCTTTTTAAGTAGAGACCAGCTGAACTTAACTTAACTGACTTTTACTTTGGTGTTGCTCTCATCCAAGTGCCTCTGCAACCAAAACAGAGTCCAGTGCCCATCTGCAGTCTCATCATTGTTCTGTGTTCTGTCATCTAATGCAGCACCTTGAAAGCGGTGAGGCTGATTTGACTATCCAGCATGAAGTGCCTTTCAAAGAGATTGAAGAGAAAGTATTTCCTAGAAAACCACGTGCAAAATCAAGCTGCACTACAAAATGTTTCCTCAATGTGCAATTCATATTAATTAGCCTTGTTAAATCCTCATGCTTTGTTATTAGATGTCAAAAAAATATCCAATTTAAAGATGGGCTGCTCAAAGAAGATGCGCCAGGAATGTAAGGTCAGCATCATGTTGCCCTGAACCAGCTACTTCCTAACATGCCCCATCATGTGAGAGGAAAGCGGTGGAGAGAGAGCACTGCGGTCAAACTAGACTGCTTCTCAACTCTTTGACTGTGGAACCAGTTTCATGGTAGAATGCTGCCTGAACAGGACTTGAAGCATCCATTAAGCATTTGTACTAAGTGCAATTTGTCCTAGAGGGCTTGTTGAGTTGACAGGAATGTTGTAATCTATTCTTCCCTGTTGTGTAAAACTAAGAATACCCTCTAAACTCATCTGTCACCGTGCCTTTGATAGGTCCTGAAAGAATGTTTGTGCCGAACTGAAACGTGCCAGTGGATGTCAAATGTATTTAGAACATTTAAAATGCTAAAAAAAACAAGGAAAACAACACTGGCTTGATGCACTTGATTTTATTTAGACACAGAAAGCCTTAAAGGTAGCGACTGTTTAATTTAATCCTTCAACTTGGCTGTGCCAGACCGTTTTGTTAAGACTCCTGTGTGTAAACTGTACTTGAAATGGACACTCCTGTTTGGATTATTTTTTCCCCCACCCTGTTGGTGTTCCTACTGGGATCCAAGGACCAAGAGATGCAGTGTAACTGTTGTTGAAATGTTTGTTGAATAGCAGCTGCATTTGCAGAGGACTGCTTATCACTAAGCAATGTTTGGTATCTGTGGTCCTTTTAAAGTCACGAATATGAGATATTCATGCTAGTCAATGGATACAGTAGGTAAACATGTAAGAGTACTTGTGTTTTGTGTGACGTTTTGTATATAATGTTTGGTTTAAGGGACCAGAGAGGGATAGAGCTATCGTAAAGCACCTCTAAAACTACTGATGATGCAAAAGGGATGATGATGATTACTTGATGTGAAGGAGAGGGTAGCCGAAATGGGATGGGTGATTCACAAAAGATTGGAGCTGTTGGGATAATCGGAAGAATAAAAAACTAACCACAGATGCGCATTGTCATTTTCTTTGTTTTATTTCACTCAGCTCTGCACACAGTATGTTGCACAGTGTCAGTAATGCTACAGCAAACACTTTTTTCTTATCTTTGCTGTTTGCTGTTATAAGCAATACAGGAAAAGCGAAAACTAAGCTGCAGTAGGTTCATTACCTGTGCCTTTTTATTGTGTGAAATCACTGGCATTTACTGACAATCTTCCGCAGCAGCCCACTCACACCTTCCATTCAGACAGGGGTGGCAGGATTCAAAGTCATTTGGCCCCACCTACTGGTAGGAAAGCAAATATCACTCACTACTAATGGCAGGCCATAGTCCTGATACTGGCCACAGACTCAGGAGAATCATTTAAACAGGTGGACGGTGGAAACTACTGAGACCGAACAATGTGAGATTACATTAATTTTTTTGCTATGTTGTCCACACTGTTTTCTGAATGTTATTCGTGTAAGTCAGATGTGCATCAAATGGCATATTTCTGAACTTTGTCCTTCTTCCACATGTAATGTAGTAAACATTTATACTCAAAACAATTTTAAGTCATAAGATTGTTGGACCCTCAAATTGTTTCTTGTATCCAGGAAGATACATACATTTGAAAGACTGCAGGGAAGATCAGTAAATGTGGAGGCTTAACTTTATAGGTAAACATTGAGGTGGGTTGAAGAATTTTACCCATGTGACTTTTATTGATCAAGTAATGAGGCAGATAAACAAGCACAGGAAAACAAAATAGGAAGGACATAAACTATTTATTTTTTTTATTGTATTGTTTAGGTTTGGCTGCAGACGAAATAAATCGCACTAGAGAATTAATGCTATGAATAGTAAGCTAAATCCTGCTGCATCTGTCCTTTAGTGACGTGCTGCATAAAGTTCAATTTTGCCATCCTTTATTTCCTCTTCCCCCAGCGCTGACTTTTTCTATTTCCTTTCAGGAATCTGTGAAATAGTTGGCTCCACTTCAAATATGGGTGTCTCTCTAATAGAAATACCTCTTCATACATTACAGGAATAGCTTGGCGGTATATGTTGGTTTCAATCCCTTTCGTGTGCTACCTTATTTATTTCCTTTTCAGGATAGATTCAGTAATTTGGCAACTTTCAACCTCATTCCCTGTAGGTCGCGCTTCTCCGCAGCGGTTGCACTTGCTGTGTTCCACATCCGTCCGTCCAATGAGACTGTCGCAGTATTTGGGTGAAACAAACATTAAAGCAGTCATCCACCTTCATGCCACGTATTCTGACAGTTTAGGTGTGGCAGACAGGACCAACCACGTGTCAGAGAAAGGTTGATCAAGGTTGGTTCCATTGAAATGTAGGCTATTCATTCTCACTGGTCCAGTAAATGCTTTGACTGCTGTGTTGATTTTTTTTTGACATATCCGTTTACATTGTTTAACCTATAACGTTTTTTAATGTAAGCAATTTGTTTTTATAGCAGTCCTAGTGTCTTCACTGAAAAAGACTAAATGTATTTGAGTTTTTTGTATCTATGCCAGCCTTATAGCCTACCTGCCTGTAGCTGAGTTACAACAGGGAGGATGATGACTTTGCCCAAAGGTGTATATGCAGCTCATGATTGTTTTATTTTACTGTTAATAGCCTACATTTGCAACAAATATCGGTTGCATGGAAAATTTTATCCATCATCCGGACTAAATGAAAACGCTCTCATGCATTAACCTTAATATTGTGTCTCTGACAGACACGGCGAGCCCAGTCTACCGTGGTATATTACAACACTCCGGCTGACTTGTTGCCTTCCCGTGTCTCTTTGTAGTTTTGACAATATGCGTACTCGATCAAACAGTATGCCACTCAAATTACCTTCTCGCCTTCAGTGATCGACTTAATTATTTAGCATTTTAATTTGCTTAAACATACATTTTGTGTCAGATTTCATCTTTGGTGTCAAGAGTTTTCATATCAGTTTCATATGAGTGACAACTGGCCGCATATGAAATACCAGCAAAGACCACCAAGTTAAATGATTTCTAAGCTTGGGTCCTGGGTTCTCCCAGGGTCACTAAAGGGGTTTCAGAGGGCTATAGAGAATATACATGGTTATAATTGTTTTTAGTCACGTTAAAGGGTACTCTGATATGTTTAGGGATTATAACGAGTTTTGAGGTAGCCTATACAAAATGTTAAATCTATGGCTGGTGTAGGCCAGTGTTATTAATATCAGCTCACTGATTGATTTTAGGATAAAGCAAACGATAGTGAAAATAAGTCACATAGCCACCCGAATTGGCCAAGGATTCATTTGCCAAGGATTGTTTGTCTTACATAGGCCTATATATGTATTGTTTATTTTAATCCTTAACCTTTTCTTCTTATTATAGGCTACACGGCCTACACATTATATTAGTCTGTCCACATATGTAGGGTTTAGGTCAGAGCTGGGAGATTGTTTAGTGCTTTCCTTTAACTGTTCCTCTCTTCTCCTTGAATGTTCATTCAAGGCCGGGAGAGGATCTCTGTTCCCCAAAACATTGAAACCTAGACTGTGTAAATGATTATGCATCCCTTTGCTTGGTGCCAGACGATAGTGACTGTCCTTGGAGACTGAACCTCTGGCCCAGCCGATTAACGTTGTAGTAGCCTACTTCTCTGTCATTCTCTTTTTATTAATAAATTCTTCAGACAAAGGTTGGTTGTTACTCAGTTATTTGCTTAATCCCTCACCAGCAATATACAGTCATTAACAGTCGACTCAAAGTCTTATATCTCAGGCCATAATATTTGTCCGGTCCCTTTTCTTTACCTGTCGCTTTACCTGCTTTGGACTTCGTCTTCATCTGTGTGATGTTACGGGAGCTAATACATCCAACTCCCGGTTTAAATATATCGCCTTCAGTTTAAATTTGCGAGGATTGCCGCAATATAATTGATCCAATTAACAATCCAGCCCTTGACAAATTAGTGGGAAAAAATTCTACTTCATTCTACTTCAAACTCATCATAAAAACAGACACATTCTACCAACCAATTACAATACAGTCTATGTAGCATTCACATGCTGTGGTTGCAGCTAGCATCTTCTTTACTAGTATATAATAGTATATAATGCAACGTATACTCAACCTATTGCTCTAAACCAGTTTATGCCCTTTTGATTTGCCCCAAGAAAATTTTACTTTGACATTTGAAAACCGGAAACGTTGTTGCTAGCTAGGCTACCTTGACAGTTGGTTAGGACTTCAAGTTAAGTAACCGGGATGCAAAGTTCCGCCTTCCTTTTTATCCGGCAGATGTAAGTAAACTGTAATATTTGGTTTAGGGAGATAGTAGTTGGGCACACATTATAACCTTGAGGATGAATTTATATTTGTCTTTTTAATTGTAACATTTCATTTTCTCGCTGAAAACTAAACAAAACAGTGGACTTTTTTTTTTAAATTTGACCTAGATTTGTTGTGTTTCCAGTGGGAGCCTAAGGTTACAGGTTGGGTAGTTTTAGCTAGCTAATCCGAGGAGATAACGTTAACTAATCCCAGTTTGTTAATCCTTTCACACTTCACTTGTCTTCAGGACACCGTTGAAGAGAGTCGAGGAGTGTCCTAACTTACTCCAACGTCTGTCAAGATAAAGACGTTAAGGTTTCCTGCTCAACAAGTTAGCCAAAAACTCACAAGTTTGGTAGTTGGACATGTCGTAGAACGAATATGGAAATGTAACGTCACAGTTACACCAGCTGCGCCTGAAAGAATGCGGAATAAACTTGAAGTCTTTCAACGGAAACGAAACGAGGCTGGTTACAGTGCACGGGTCACATCAGCAGTAGGTGCCAGAGAAGAGCAGCTCCACCTCGGGGCATGAAACCTCAGTCCGATTTTCCACCGAGGAAGGAAGCGACAGGATGGCAGTATGCGGAAGAAGGAGTCGACCCAAGTTAGTTTTTTTAGTCTTTGGTGTCACGTTAGTGGGATATCTGGTGTTTTTCAGACATAACTCCGTGGAAGTGAACGCGACAAATCGACGGGAGGCCCCCGGAGAGCCAGAGGTGGAAAATGAACAGCTTAAGAAACCCGTCTACGAGAAGCCCCCATTGGATATACATGCCCTGGGCGAAATGGGGAGAGCAGTCAAACTGAACCTACAGGGAGAGGAGAAAAAAGAAGAGGAGGAAGGCATCAAAAAGCATCAGATTAACACTTATGTCAGTGACAGAGTATCTCTGCACCGCCGGCTGCCTGAGAGATGGAACCCACTGTAAGTATCTAGTTGAGTGGTGTCAACCATTGCACAAAAAATACACTATTATCACACTGTAATAGCCACTGCCACTGAGACATTGTAGTTCTCAAATGAGTACTTGTTAGTGATTTGTTAGTAACTGAACACCTGCTCCTTGCCATAGGCTATCTGAACATCTTTTGTGTCCACTTTTTTGATATTCACTTAGGCAACCACGCTTAAGTGTCATGCAACCAGCTCTTGCTAGGATATCCGCGTGCAGTCTTAACCCAGTCACCCAGCCTCACCTCCTGTCCTCCCAGTCAAGCTGTCTCCTAACAAGTTACTTTTCCTCACATTACAGTTGCAGGGACCTGAAGTATGACTACCGGTCCCTGCCGACAACCTCCGTGGTAATCGCATTCTACAACGAGGCCTGGTCCACCCTGTTGAGGACAGTCCACAGCGTGCTGGAGACGTCACCGGACATCCTGCTGAAAGAGGTGGTGCTGGTGGACGACTACAGTGAAAGAGGTACGTGCACAGACTGATGGAGGGAGGCTGAGACAGACAGGCAGACAGAGGCCCTGTGGGCAGGCGGGCTGGCCAACTGACTGTGAAGAAGGACAGAAAGGATCAGAGGGACAGGCTGGGAGGGTGGCAGTCAATGTATTGTCAGGTAGAGAGAGGGGAGAAGGGTGGACTGTTTGCAATTAGGGAAGTCAAACAGAGGTACAGGAAGTAAGTGACAGCTAGTAAAACCAAAATGTAGATGAAGGGAAATTTAATACATGTCCAGATAGACTCACAGATATCAATGTCACACATCTGGGAAATTTTTTTAAACTTCCAATGAATATACATGCCACTTGCAAATGGTATAATAGTAATAAATAACAGTATAATGTATATTTAAATTACGTGGATGGTGGATTAGAAGGCCATGTGTGTCAGGCATGGTGAAGTTCATCACAGTCAAATTGGAATGACAGTCATACAATGTAGTATATCATCTTCTCTGTTTGTATTCCTTGTCATCATGTTATGATGTTTATTAAAAGGAATACATTAAGAACACAGCTTTCTGTGGCTACATTAGCTTAAAGGAATAGTTCAGGTTTTTTGAAGTGGGGCTGTATGAGGTACTTAATAGTCTGAGTAAATAAATAGTCTGTGTATTACCCTGCAGTGGATGGCAGTCAATGCGTCCTCAGTTTGGGGATTTGTACCGGCACAGAAGCAAAGCAATGCACCGCTGTGGACTGGGTCAGCAGGAAAAGGTATTTTAGCCACCTAAAAGAAGGCCCACCGGAAATTATCTCTATCAGTTCAAGTGTAGACTATACTTAGAATATTTTCAATGCTTTACCTTGCCATCAGACAAACATTTCCTTTGGAACTACGTTTTCTTAATTGTAGAGCTTCTGTATTCCTATGCATAAGTACAACTTGGCTGCACTCTGTAAAATAGAACTGGCTAGGTAAAGCGCTGAAATATTGTAAATATAGCGTAAATTTGAACTCATTATGATTTGTTTTGGTGGGCCTTTTTTTTTAAAGTGGCTAAAATACATTTTGCAGCTGACCCTGTCCACAGAACAATGCTCTGTGCTGGTACAACGCTATGCTTCTACAAACTGAGGATGCGCCCCCCATCTACTGTAGGTAATACACTGAAAATGTACCTCACACAGCCCCACTTCTAAAGTCCCGAACTGTAGCTTTTTTAAGAGGGATTTATCAGGGACATCAGTGTGCTCTAGTTTGAAGTCAGTCATTGTTTTTTCTGAGCTTAGACACTTCAAGGGAGTGGCTCTAAAACATTCTGGTTCATGTCTCCATAAATTAAGCAATGCCTGCCTCTCCCTCTGCGCTAACATTGGCCACGTATCAATTCAGAGTGGTGAAACAAATAGACCAAACAATTATGTTTCTATTTCAGATTGTTTAATCTGAGGAGGAGGAGAAACTAGTCAGTATTCACAATCAAATGTTAGAAGATAAGCACAGAAACAAATTGATGCTGTGATAGATTTCGTACAGATATGTTTGTATCTTATCCCATAAATCAATAACTTACCAATGTCTGTTTAATTATTCAAACCCATCCAAGTACCGCTGTGTTATTTTAGTCTTCAAGATACCTGATGGATGATCAGAATGTAGTAATTGTGTATCAAACACTCTTAAACACTATTTTCCTTCCTAAGCTTCACTGGCTGCTTTAAAAAAAAGATGTCAGCAGATTGTAAATTTATTCATTTAATGTTAGAAGAGTGATTTTGAGAAACATAACTGCTCTTAATACAAACATGGCCCACACACACACACACACACACACACACACACACACACACACACACACACACACACACACACACACACACACACACACACACACACACACACACACACACACATACATTTGACAGATGTGTTATTTTGGTTTATTTGTTTACTTGTTTAATCTCCTTAAGCTCATCTCAAGGAGCCATTGGAGAAGTACATCTCAGGTTTGAGGAAGGTGCGTTTGATCCGAGCCACCAAGAGGGAGGGGTTGGTGCGGGCCCGGTTGCTAGGTGCGTCCATTGCCACAGGTGATGTGCTGACCTTCCTGGACTGTCACTGCGAGTGCCATGAAGGCTGGTTGGAGCCCCTGCTTCACAGGTTAGAAAAGCCTCTATGGGAGAATTTAAGGGCTCTCTCTCTCTCTGAGTATTTTGTCAAAGTGTGGCCTTGTGCTTAGAAGGACTGTCTTTTTGCCCAAGTGAAGTGTCACAAAGTGAAGCACTGAATCTGAAAGGAGTGCTGTTATGTAGCTGACTCACATCCAGTATGCTCAGTTACTTGGCTCTCTTAAGAGCAGGGCGGCCACAAAAAGTTGACATTTGAGATGAACACTTTACTCCCTGTCAACAGCCTCTCTCCTTTCTCCTCCAGGATCAAAGAGGAGCCATCGGCTGTGGTCTGTCCCGTCATCGATGTAATCGACTGGAACACCTTCGAGTATTTAGGGAACTCTGGCGAACCTCAGATCGGGGGGTTCGATTGGCGGTTGGTCTTCACCTGGCACACTGTCCCAGACTATGAACAGAAACGCCGTCGCTCGCCCACTGATGTCATCAGGTGTGTCTGTGGATCCTGTTATTAAGGATAATTTTACAGAACAGGCCCAACATTAGTTTTCATACCACTGTTGTCACCTGATACTAAACCCAACGCAATTTATAAGGTGCAGGGTGCCTGAAATGTTTTTTTTTTCTCCTCAGGTCTCCTACGATGGCAGGTGGTCTGTTTGCTGTGAAAAAGAACTACTTCCATTACTTGGGGACGTATGACACAGGGATGGAGGTGTGGGGAGGAGAGAACCTGGAATTCTCCTTCAGGGTAGGAAGTGATGTGTCTTTTTTGTGTGTTTCCATATGAAAGTTTTCTGCATGTGTAAGGCCCTAGCTTCATGCAAAATAGGCACAGTTTATATGAATATGATGTGAAATATACACAGCTTTTAGTATCACAACACACATCACTAAAAAGGCGGGTCAGATCTGGTTTACATTTACCAAGAACTCCATCATGTAATGATTCCTTATTCCCTGTAAAATCCCTCCTGGAAGATTCATAACTACACAACCAGGGAAAACAGGCCAAAGACCCTACTACTTTAATTGCAGTGAAGAATTTGAACATCCCTTTCCTTAGATAACTGCAATTTCCCAAAGGGATGGAACCAAAAATATTTCCCTTAAAAACAAAACAGCTTTTCTGTTTCCACGCTCTTCCACCACAAGGCAGTGCTTTGTGCTGAGAGGCTAACCAAATCCTCGTGGTGATGTTGTTGTTAATATCTCTTAGATTTGGCAGTGTGGGGGCAGCCTGGAGGTACACCCATGCTCCCATGTGGGTCATGTGTTCCCTAATAGAGCCCCTTACTCGCGGAGCAAAGCTCTGGCAAACAGCGTGAGAGCCGCTGAGGTCTGGATGGATGAATACAAAGAGATCTACTACCATCGAAGCCCTCATGCACGGCTGGTGAGTCTGCACAGATGGTGTGCGTGTGCATGTGTTGATGTGCTAGAGGCAATTTTCTTTATCAGGCATTCTTGTATATTAATAACAAAAAGATTTATTTCATCTTTAGAGTATTGTGAAGGCAGTTTTTTTTTTTTTTTTTTACAGCTGCAGTCAGCTGTTAACTGATTAATCACTTGATTTCACCAATGTACACACTCTCAGTCCCACACATATTACATGCACTCTCCGCTCTCACAGATTACATACACATGCTGCACTCCCGCTGCGGTGTAAAAGCTCCCCTGATTAAGTGACACTTGGGATACATGAGCGGCAGACACCCAAGGTGACAGGGGTGTCAGGGCGTTCCGGTGTGTTATTACCACCTTTCCGTGTCAGTTTGCGCCAGCGGGTGTCAACCACCTGTCCTTGACAGGGCGAGAGTAGTGCTAACCCATGGGGTGCCCTGGCTTTGTGTGTGTGAGTGTGTGTGTGCGCATGCATGGGAAGAGCTGGGCTGGTTTGTGACAGTGTAGTTAAGAGGAGAAGCTTTCTAAACACAGATCAGGTGGCGCTCATCTCCCTGAGAGGAGGCAGCCTTGCCAATCTCGCAGTGGCACAACAAACCCAATACACCAAAGCCTTCTAAGACTGACGGGTAGACGCATGCTCTCACATACAAAGCTCTCTCAAATATTTATCAATATATTGTACTAAATGAGGTTTCATTCATTCTGATACGATTTTGAGCCTCTAATGTAACTTATTTTTGCAGTTTTTGTGGTACTCCCACCAATTTTTTTTTTTAAAATTCATATACCAAGGTGTAGAGTCGTTGAACCTTTTTATAAAACGATTATTAAATTCTGCTCTTAATTTGAGCAGTAGGTTTGTAGGTATGGATAGTTCTTGGAGCTAGCAGACATTGTCTAGCCAGAGGTTACATACACAAAGTCCTCCTTTTTGTCTCTTCACGATCAATTCATTTTCCTTGCTAGAGAGAAACTCAGGCAGCAAGATGTTTATTTATGTTTGCTATGACTAAACTACTCCTACACCTTTAGTCCTGATTTGGTTCCAAGCCCACAATCTAGGTAAGTTGAGTCAGTCTAATACAGAAATTGATGGCTAATTTTAATATTTCCAGTAGCCGATTACATTGTCATCCTCCCCAGAGCAAAAAACTCTATATTGGGGTTGCAGGATGATGGGTGACTGAAACTCTCCTAATTGGCACCTCTTTGGCCTCTTGTGTACATCATATTGGCCTTGTGTTGCTTCTTAAGTTATTTCAGTGACCTCTTACTGATACATATACTGGTTTGTGATTGAACTGCTATTTATTCTTACATTTGCTCTTCATTGACAATTGAATAGCACCTGTACTGATCCTTTAATTTCCCCCTTGTTGGCCTCATATACCGTAGAGGCCCGCATTGGCCCTCATTGTCCTTTGATGGCCCTTACTGATCCCTTCCGTTGACAGCAGACTCTCTCCTTTGGGAATCTCTCTCTTGACCAATACATTAATAAGGAAGGGCCAATTAAAGCCGTGTTTTGGGCAAACCACCAACATCCATCATGCTGCAGTGCGGCTGGAGCCTTCCTCCAGCAGGGAAGGTGTGGTGAGCATATGCTCACCAGTGAATCAAAGTGAAGAGATTGTGTTCTTGCCTGCTCTGTTGCTCACTTATCACGATCACTGTGGTGTGTGTGCGTAACTGTATGCATAGAGGTATTTACATAAGAACACACATCTATATTATTTTCATTTACTAACATGCACACACACACAAATACACCAGGTGTAGGAGTTGTTTTCTGTTAGGAGCTCGGTTTGTTTGAGGGCATGTTGTTGTTGTCGTCATTATTATTATTATTATTGTTATTATTATTGGAGATCTAGTCATGTAGAGTTATGGAACAACTAGATGGTGCTATTGTATACAATTTCTGCACAGAACTATACTATGAATACAGACACTGCAGCTGTCTGACGCTGACTGCATCAAAGGTGTGCACACAAGTTCTTTATTTGAATATAAGATGACATTGATTAATTATCATCATGTAATATCGACATTACGGTAATTCTGTTCTACCTGATATTGTTTTGAACCTCAGAGAATTAAGGCAGAAAGGTGGAACTTAAGATCACACGGTGGAACCATCATTTGTGGGCTTTGTTTCTAGGAGGCCTTTGGAGACGTGACAGAGCGGAGGAAGCTGAGAGAAAAGCTGGGCTGTAAGAGCTTCCGGTGGTACCTGGATAATATTTACCCCGATATTAACGTCCCAGAGGATCGCCCAGGCATGTTTGGAATGGTGAGTACACACTGATAGAGTATGAATTTACCAATTCTCACTGGTTTGATTGAATTGAATGAAGCAGTGCAGACGAGAGACTAATGCGTAAACACGTTAAGCGTGATAATTCTTTACAATAAGATTAACTTTGTCATCAATTTCCTCACCCATGTATGAACCACTGTAAGCTATATTTTATCAATACCTGAAAATATCTAGTGATGTGACTGCTTTTTGCTCATTATAGCTGAAGAACCGGGGCATGACCGACTACTGTTTTGACTACAACCCTGCAGATGAGAACACTATAGTAGGCCAAAGGGTCATCCTGTACTCGTGTCATGGCATGGGTCAGAACCAGGTAACGGCAGTCTTTTATGCCATGAGCAATAAAACATTTCTTGATGTATTTTCTGGTGAAAAGTCACTTCAGTCTGTTGTAATGTTGAAGTATCTTAATTTTAATGTTGTGTTTTATTAGTCTCAGTTTTACTCTCACTATACACTCACAGGCCACTTTATTACCTTGCTGGTACCGGGTTGGGCCCCCATTTGCCTTCAGAACTGCCTTAATTCTTCATGGCATACATTTAATAAGGTGTTGGAAACATTCCTCAGAGACTTTGGTCTATATTGACATGATAGCATCACACAGTTGCTGCAGATTTGTCGGCTGCAAGGTGCTCTGCTGAATGGAGACCTTGTGACTGGATGCCATTGGAGTAGAGTGAACTCACTGTCATGTTCAAGAAACCAGTTTGAAATGATTTGACCTTTGTGACATGGTCTACATGTCTAAATGCATTAAGTTGCTGCCATATGATTGGCTGATTAGCTATTCGTGTTAACAAGCTATTGGATAGGTGTACCTAATGAAGTGGCTGGTGAGTGTAGAACTATAGTCTTGTTTTACATCTAGGTGCAGATGTTTTCCACTTTGCCACGTAAAAATGTATGGGCAAAAACGCAGCATACTGTATGCTGGCAGTTAAAAACCCATTTATACATTTAACTCATGTGGACTACTTTATCAAAACTACATTTTGTTTAGGCTTAAGGCTACTTTGTACAAGCTACATTGAGCTAAGCTTGATTCTTGAACAACATTTGTTAACAAGAATTAGAAAATGGTTCTTTAGATGTGAGTCCCTATATTCCTTTACGAGTCACCCGGCCTAGTCACTGGCCTCATTCTTATTAATCTCCCCCCCTGTTATTACCCTGCTATTCCTCCTCCTTAGCTTTCTCCTAAATGTATACTATTTTCCTTTCCTTGTCATTTCTTTACTTTGACTCCCTACAAGTAATACAATCACCTTATTTCACAGTAAACCACAAGGGGTTGTAGTTGTAATCTTACAAATCTGAAAATAGTGGACTAGTTTGCCTCTTCCATGTTGAGTATTTGAGTATTTGGTGGCCTTGTTATATGAAGGAGAATGAATTTCCCAGCACCTTTATCCTCTGTGTTTGACAGTAGTCCAGGAAAAACTGTGAAATTTACCATTGTTATTCCAGCAGCCCTCTGTGGACACACAGATATTATCTCTGTGGGAGTTGGCTCAGCAGTGCTTTATGTTGTCTGCCTTATGGAAGAGCTCTGCATGTTGCAAAATTATTTTCATTCATAGTCTGTGCACACGCCAGCAGTAGGTGTGTGTGTGTGTGTGTGTGTGTGTGTGTGTGTGTGTGTGTGTGTGTGTGTGTGTGTGTGTGTGTGTGTGTGTGTGTGTGTGTGTGTGTGTGTGTGTGTGTGTGTGTGTGTGTGTGTGTGTGTGTGTGTGTGTGTGTGTGTGTGTGTGTGTGTGTGTGTGCGTGTGCGCACAAACATGCACAGACAAGCCATCTCTCAGTACACTGTGTCCATTTGCTTTGTTTCTGCATGTCTTTTTCTTCACACATAAATATCCATGTACAGATTCTGACATGGACTGAAATTACATCCTTCTGTTATAACTGAATTGAGCCACGTACATAAAACATAGTCTCTCTTTTACGCTATTCCTTATCAGCAAATACATTTCTATTTCAAATGAGATTTAAAACAGTCATTTATAACATTACATAATTAGCATGAAAATATTTAGATCGAAACCATCTGTTTAATTTCCTCCCGCAGTTCTTTGAATTCTCCACGGAGGGTGAAATCCGCTATAACACAAGGCAACCTGCTGGATGCGTTGCGGGTGACAGCGTCAGCACCTACCTGACTCTCCAGCTGTGTAGACACCGAGGGCAACCTGTATCTGCAGACCAGAAATTTGTCCTCCGAGAGGTAACGGATGTTCCTGTGTTTAATGTCTGTATATACGAGGCAGTGTGTGTGTCAGTGGTGAAGGAGTAGTGAGACAGGAGGCAGTGAAAGCGCAGGATGGAAGTCCAGGAAACCGTTTCCTTTAGAATTTTCTCTGACTTCCTGTTCATCATTCCAGATTATTTTTTACTTTCCTTCATGAACATTTTGTGATATGTTGTTGAATAGGCTATTTTTAGTCTTATTCATTTGAATATTATAATACTGTAATAAAAAGCGTTACAGGTGTGAAGCTGAGAGAATTGTAGTCACATCCTGATCTACAAATGATAATATCACTTTACTGAGCAGCTGTTCCTTCACTTGTATGTACATGTATTGTATTGCGCTAATAGCTACTTTTCAAAAGAAATGTACTTGTTGGCCATTAGAGTGATTAACCAGCATTAATGCGCTTACTATTTTATAATGCATATTCTCCCCCTCAATGTTTTCAGGACGGGAGCCTGTACCATGTGATGAGCCAGAAGTGTGTTGAGGCGGTAAGCAAGACAGACAACGGGACACCAGCCCCCTCACTCCAACCCTGCACCGACAGTCTCCACCAAAAGTGGTTCTTTGAGGAGAGAATGTAATAGTATCAACCTAGAATGTATCTACAAATATATGTTTTCAATCAGGGCCAATGTCCTGAGGAGGGGTATGGGTGGACTGAATCGCTTAATGTTTTTTTAATATGTTTACCTTGTCCTAAAAGGAGCCCAAAGGAGGAAGTTCCTATGCTCCCGTCCAAACTTTAACCTTTGCACATTTCTGTGCCAGCTGGATTTACACTAATAATATAATTATATTGATGAAGTCCTTTGTAAATATATATATTATTGCTGTCATTTTTCTTGTTTTATCTATCTATCTATCTATCTATCTATCTATCTATCTATCTATCTCTCTCTCTCTCTCTCTCTCTCTCTCTCTCTCTCTCTCTCTCTCTATATCTATATCTATATCTATATCTATCTATCTATATAGAGGGAGAGAGAGAGAGAGAGAGAGAGAATATTTTTCTTGGATGCTGTTGCTGGGAGACAGGAGCCTGCTGGAATATATATTGTTCTTCTAATCAAGGAGATGCTTGAGAATTGTTGGGGACCTGCACAATTGTACATGCTGTCATTTTTCTTGTTTTTCCATATACACATTGCACTACTGGTGCAATCTTTAAGAATGAGATCAATTTAGCTGACTGGCTCAGTGCCCACATCTGGATCATCACACGTCTGGATGAAAATAACTGCTTTACACCACTGTCAACAAGCTAGGAGCCTCTTGTGAGCTAGTGAGGCATTTTAAAATGTTTGCATCTTCTCCTGTAGATGGGGCCAACGCTCCTCTCTGCAGGTTCCTTTCTTTCACTGTGTTCTGTATTTGTGGGTGAGAAATCTTCAGGTATGCTGTTAAGAACCTTTTCAGGATGTTTTGAGTGTGTGCTACTCTTACATACAGTGGCTTAGAAAAAACCCTTCGATCACAGGCATAATACTAGTATCTAGTACCTCTTCAACTTAATTACTTAACTACTGATAACAGGAGAAACTCGAGTGTTATTCCATTCTGATTTGTCTGAAGTCAGGAGAAGAAGAAGGAGTTTTTTTTTTTTTTTTTTTTAACGTAGTGTACTTGCCTCGGTTTTGTGCCCTTTTAAATGATGTGCAGCTTCAAAATCATAGCCATATTTGATGGATTTACTACATTTGGTGTCAACTTTCTTTATTTTTAAATTAGGTATTTTTCTAAAACTAAATTACTGTTATTTCATACCTTCACTGCAGACATATCTAAACTTTAGTAAAAAGTGAGTGGGAATTTATCTAATCTTAATCCTGAGTGCATAAACACTGAAATCACAACAAGAATATGATCTTCTGCCTCAACTTACTTGTACTGATTTGGGCACACTGTCTGTGTTTCCAATCCATCAGAATTAGACAACTATAGATCCCTCTGTTCGGAGCCGTGGTCACTTGTGTGACTTGTCCCTCAGGCTGTGCAGAGAGACTATGGGAAACACAGCAGAGGCATAGACAGTTGTTTGTCTCCAGATTGCTGGGATGCCAGATGGCTTCCTGATTGATTTTCTGGTCCTCTCCCAATTGTTTATCGCCACTTTTCCCTCTCTGTGTCAGAGGTGTGCAGCAGAGGACGTATCTTTTGGACTTGCGCCAAATCCTTCTCAGTTATGAACTTGTTACTCACGTGCTTGAGGTTTGATTTATGAACGGAAGTTATCAAGAGTACAGTTTTTGACAGCAGAAGCAGATAATGGAGGAGATTGAATGAAGCAATTTGCGACCTCTTCCTTACCATTAACCTTCACAGCTCTGTTAGGATTTCATGTTTGGGGACGATTGGACTGAAATAGATTTTCCTGTTGATTCAGAATATATACTGACAGTAAGATAAATGGGAGAAGGAAAAACACCATTTTGCCAGTACCACCACAGCGGGGGACTTGAGTAGAATCAGAATCCCTTCAGTTGCCAAATTTTATGAATGTACAGTAATGTTGCAGGAACATGGTAACATCTGTGCATATGAGCTCACATCGTACAAGGCTGAAGGGCTAAAAGGCAGCACAAGATGTGCTTTACTTTGGAGTGTGCAGAACACAGGAAAGGAGTATCAGCTGTTCTGTGTAGGATGAAGGCACATTGGAATATGAATATAATTTGTGGGGTTAAAGTTCCCAGTAGTCCATAAAGGCTTTTGTGGGCATTATGACTGGTACATGATTGTGCAGACAATGCTTTGTGATAAGTGGAATGTACCAAATGACCAGTAGGAAGATTATAGTGCGTTCCATAGAGGGAGGGGAGCGACAGCTGTCTCGGGATTGTGTGAATGTTATCAGGCGATAAAGCTAAAAAGAAAAAAGTCTGATTGTTGCGGTGTCACTGCTTGATCTTAGAAGAGGACCATATGCCTAAGAAACGTTTGGGAACAGGTTGTCTGACTTAAGATTAGAAGAAGATGCTTCAATGAGGATCATCCATGAGAGATCAGACTCCCAGGTTTATGTATTGAACACTTCAGAAGTGACAGTGTTTTCATTTCCATCAGTTTGTGTCTTAAGCCTGTGAGTGCAGTATAATTATTATATTATGTTATTAAAAAGGGGTTATTTATGGTCCCCCTGTTGCCATCTGTTATTCCAGACATGTCCTACATAGTAAAACGTTTTTTATGCTGGCATTATATGCTAATGTGATACGGTACACACCGCTGCAATAAAATTTATATTTGCCAGTCTCGGGATCATATATCTCTGGCAGATCACACAGGGCTTTTATATCAACTAAACCCTTGTTGTAAATGGTAGTGATATTCCAGGGATCTGTTGGTGCACTTGAACCTATCAAGATTGTCGCTAACCCTAATGGACCATGTAGTGATGTTTTACAATAACATTCACACATCTTCTGTTTATAATTAACTATTCCCAGTGGAGTCATTTAAGTTGTTGAAGTGGTAAACATGCACAAATGATAATGCTGGAATTTATCACCATGTCTGGTGTATTAATGCTGTCAGTACTTCCAGTGGCCTTATATTATTGTTAGGAAAGTGACAGATAAGATAAACAATATTTTTTGTATTTGTTGGTTCCAATGAATGGACCAAATCTGGTGTCAGTGTACCCATTTAACTTGTCAGAGTAAGTAAATAAAATAATGCTGGATTTGTGTTTTTGTTTGTCGTGAGTTTTATGTCTTTAAAACGTGCATTAATATTAAATATTTAAAAAATTTCATTCATGAAAAATGATCCTATATCTCACTGTACACCATTGTGTATCCATTAAACTGACATATAAGCATCCACCATGAGAAAAAAATGGAGACACAAATCAAGATGCTCAGAGGGTAATGAGAGAAGAAAATGAGAAATGGGGAGGGGGGAGTGAGTTTTCCAACCATATCTGATTGGTTTGATCACCAGCTGCTGAGTGAGATGGTTAAATGTCGCACCCGAGCCAAGTCGCCCTTTTCCCTGTTGATGCTCTGCCCTGAAGTCTCTCTCAATTACTCATTGGTGATGCTTGGATGTTTGTTTCATAGGATACTGAGTGTGCGTGGGAAAACGTCACGATGAATGGTGGACAAAAGATAAAAGCATGCAAACCTTTTTTGTATATTCCAAAAAAAAAGGGGGGGGTTTTTTGTATCATATTAGAAAATATAAAATTCCTTAAGAGTGCATCTTTCAACTTCAGCTGTGAAAATAATAGCATGGAACATTTGTACTTGGCATGAGACAAGCTGGTTTCTGTCTGACATGCTCTGATGGAAAACTTGCCAGAAATCTTCACAATCTGACAAACGCTGCCTAGACACCGCTCGGCTGAAATGAGAAGCGCTGCAGAAGGCTGTGATGCCGCTGTTTTTAGCGCTGTCTCATCTTAATCTTTTGGGTGCTTCACTGTGAGATTTGCAGTACAAAATAGTGCTATAAAATATCCGGAAATTCAGCAAATGCATCCACAGAAATGTTGTATGTGGTTGCAATCTCTGCGCTCAGTGTAGGCCTAGTTCTTGAGCCGGCATGGCACACATGCAGCACTACAGTCTCTCACACCCCATGTGTCTTTACTGATAATGCAAAACAAGGCTCCCCACGGTGCAAGTCTTTGGAGATGCTCAGGCTTCAGTTGTCAGGGAGCGATGGGAACCATAGGAGGAGCGACACACACACACAGTGACAAGAGGCCATTTCCACACTGCATGTCTGTTCAGTTTTATGTAATCCCCAACACCCAGAGCAGCTCAGGAGCAGTGGCTGATGGCTGCATACATTAGATGACACACTTTTACTTTCAGGGGGGACTCTAGACGGTGCAGTAAACATGTGAGGCCTAGATACAGAGATAGCATTGCATTTCTTATGCACCGCCTCTGTCTGGCATCTGATTAGATGGATCATGTAGTGAAGAAAGCAGCCAGGCTTCCATAAAGTCACCCAGTTGGCAAATTAGTTAAAATAACCATAACCAACAGTTCTGCACTCATCAGTTGTGTCTGAGCAATGTTGCATTTATTTGCTGGAGCATGTTTGTCATTTCCATTTAGCAAAACTCTTCCCTTTCATAAACTTCAATTTTTCCAGGCAGTAAGGAAAAACATAGGCAACATTTCACCTTGCCAGCTTTTAACGCTATAGACTTCACAATTGTTAGTGCAAGTGGGAAAAGACAGGCAACATCTGATGGAATGTGTTGTGAAAGAAATCAAGAGATAGATGTTAAAGTTAGATATGAATTGAAGGTGTTTATGATCCCACAAAAAAACCCCTTATAACACAAATACAACAGTAACACTTGAGCACAGTGAGCATGGAAAGAACAATCTGACACAAATGATTTACTCTCCAAATACTTAAGGGGCCTGTTTTACAGACATGCCGTGACTTAAATCCTTTTTCAGCTGAAAGCCTAGGCTTATCTAATCCATGTCTGTGAAACCAGCCAATACAGCATCAAAGACAGTTTGCTTGCATATTTACCTTGAGTTCCTCACTTTGTGTTTTCAGTGGAGTTGGACCTCACTGGGAACTGTCAAGGAACATTGGAAGAGTTGGCTGAGAACCTCACAGATGGGTGGGGGGCACTTCTGTAGTGCAGTGATTTGAATCCAAAATTAATTTGCACAGAGCGGCAAAGGGTTTACTTTGGGTTCATATAGCTGTAGAATCCGCGGGCAGCGTTTCGCTTAAAACGTGTTGTGTGTGAACACTCAAAATGTCCAGCGGTCAAACTCGCGCGAGTAAAGCGAGGCAAATATTAAATTTGCTTTAAGTGTGAACGCACCTTCAAACGTTATTGTTCAGGAGTCCCACACCCTGAGTCAACTCTGAAGTCACTGTGTGTGCTACTTAAGCTGGACTTGAGTCTGAGTCTCAAACTCGAGTCCCCATCTCTGGTCCAACACCTGCTAAACCAAATACCTACAAAATGAGACAGCCTCGGCTGTGTGTTTAGGGCTAATTAGCAAATGTTAGCTAACCCACAGACGTTGAACGTGGTAAACATTATACCTGCTAAACATCAGCATGTTAGCATTGTCGATGTGAACATGTTGCCATGCTAGTATTAGCCTTTAGCTCAAAGCATGGCTGTGTGTCAGTACAGTATCACAGAGATGCTAGCAGCGCTGTAGACTCTTGTTACCCTCTATGTTCAGATTACAGCATATTCTTCATCAGTATGTCGCCTAATGTGGATCAAAATGGATTATTTCTAAATAATTACAGGACAGTTTGTTCAGAATCATCAAACCCCATTTAAGATGTAACATGCTCTTTCAAATAGTGAAAAATTGATGAAATGCTCTTTAGGTCACAGGGGTAGTTAGACAATAAATTATGAAACAGACAACGCTGGCTTTGGGCCACAAAAGCGGCTTCGAAACTGAATTATGTATCTCAATATCTCAGTGGTTGCGCCAACACTTGTGTAGGTTTCTGTTGTTTACGATTTTATAGCTTAGCAAATACTATTAATCAGGAGTCATGGATCTCTGCATGATGTGAAATAGAAGTCTGAGATGCTGATCTCCATTTACAAGAGAACATTTTCTGTTGTGTTGTTTAATAATTTGATTGAATGATTTGCGAGCTTGTTGGACAATGTATCATCTACAGTATTTTATGGCTTTGATTATGTTTTATGACAAAATCTATTAAAAAAACTGCAGTTGCACGTGGCACAATTTTGCTGTTGTAATACACCAGTATATGCAGATCTTGTGTGATATTTATGATGACACTGATGATGTATTTAATTATGTAAAGCATTTCCATAGTGAGTGAGAGAGGAGGACAGCCACAGCACATATCACACTTGTATACTCAAAACTGGAGTTTGTTACTCTTTCCTTTCTCACTGCGAATGGGCTTGGCAGAGCCTGGAAATTTGAGTAAATGTTATTTCTAATGTAGATGACATAGATTGGGATTTAAAAAGGAATCGAGACAATATTCTATGCTGTGGTTTCTTATTTTGTGCACATTTCCCGATACATTGACGTTTCCTCAACCGATTCTAATGTTGATTCCTTCATACTTTTTTTTTTTCCACCCAACAGATGCTGATGTTGAAACCTGTCTAAGACCAAGTCATATTTGGCAGAAATAAGAACTAAAGAGAACCCAAGAGTCAAACTGATTCACACCAGATTTGTCAGAGCCCCCCCCCTCCCTCCCAACATAGCGACAGAATACCTCTTTAATGTGTGAGATGGAGTGCCTCCATGGGTGATTAACTATTCCACCCCACTCCCATTCATTTCACTTCATCAGATTACTTGATTGCTTACTAAATGGACTGTCCCCCTCCAGGGAAATATTCTGTATGTATGTTGTCTATGTATTTGCTCTGGATGTGGTTGATTTATTTTTCCTCGCACACTGTGTTTTTAGACATTCGATTGGCCATAGCTCAGTTCAGTCAAGTGTACCTCAGGTTTTGAGATATTATTAATCCTTTCCAACACATATTTTATATTCAGGTCTACATAGTGGCCTAGAGCTATTTTGGAGTTTCAGCTTGTGAATAGTGAAATTGGGAAAGTAGTGGTAGTTTACTAATTATGTAGACTAAATTAAACAGGGTCAGGGTCTGACTGCAAACTGACTGAGACCATTAGATATCTAAAGGCTGACAGCCTGACTACCTGCCTTACATATAATACATGCATTAAAAAAATAGATTGACATTTTGAGAAATATGTTTATACACCCATTCTTGTGAGAGCTAGATGAGAAGATCAATAGCACTGTCTGATAAATACAAAGCTACAGCCAGGAGACCGTTAGCTAGCTTAGCATAGACTGGAAACTGGGGGAAAAATCTGTCCAAAGGCAAATCCAGCTACAAGTGCCTCTAAAGCTCAATGATTAACAAGTTATATCTGTGTAAAAATTAAAGTTTAAAAATGACACTGGGTACCTTTCACACACAAGCAAACAAAAGTATGTTAATTTTGATTGAAATCTTAATGAAAATGAGCAACAAAATTGGCGATTGATTAACTTTCGGAGTCAGCTTCAAGTGGCCATTTGATGAACTGCAGTTTTTGGCACTTCTGCGTTGGATGTTACCACTTGGGTATAATGTGTTATTTAGTGAGCCTAAGTGGTGCTGGTAGGCTGATTTTGTTACTTTTGGACAGAACCAGGATAGCTGTTTTCTCTTGTTTCCAGTCTTTGTGTTATGATAAGCTAACTGGCTCCTGGCTCCTGCTTCACATTTAACAGAAGGATTTGAGTGTGGTTTTGATCTTCTTATCTTATTCTCTGCAAGAAAACAAAATTTTAAACTACCACAAATCTGTACCCCAACATGCCCCCTCTTTAACCAGGGCCACCTCAAGTCAGAGGAACATGGATCATCCATCCTTGAGCCATCATTAACAACCTAGGTGAAAAGCTATAGATCTTGTGCCCACTACTGTAAACATGTTCATATAAATCAGAGAAATTATGTGGGTACCGTATATGAGAAGATTCACTGCATGTGGAGATTTTAGCTGAGAAATGGCTGATTGAGATCTCGTTGCCTGATGCTGTATTCTCCCAGGAGATGAAATAAGTCCTACACCTTGATGTGCTCCTGATTTGGAGTGCTAAAGACATTGACATTGTTTTTCACAATGTATGATTAAATTGAATTCTGCCTTCTCTTGAGGGACT